TCCTCTGGCCTCCCCACTTCTGCACCTTTGTGCTCCTGCTCAGGGATCACACACATCTGGACACTTTTCTTCTGGCCTTCTGCGTGATGGAGCACAGCCATGAGGCAGCCACACATGACCTTTTATTTCTGCGAGTCCACCTGGTCTGGTACAGATGACAGTTCTTGGGAAAGCCACCCTTCATGGTGCCGAGAACTATCCAATTCGTTAGAAAGCTTTGGCAAAGTTCCACAGCAAAGAGAGTGCCTTGCTGCCCCAGTGCCTTCCTAGGCAGCAAGGATTCTTCTCCCCCTCGATGGAAAAACAAACTGAGGCCATGTGATGCACAGTGACATTAGCCCAAAACTGGGTCAAAGTATGAGATCAGGAATTTAAAGGCCTGGCCTTCTAGAAGCAGATGGGACCACTGTTCTGAACCAAGACTAGGCAAGGCAGGGCCTCCAAATATCTGTTGTACTTGAGAGGCACACTGAGTACAGGAAGCCTAAACCCAAACTCAAGATGACAGTTGTTCAGGATAGTTTTTTATCTCTGCTACTGAAAATATTGTCCAGCTGTTAGATGAAGCACTAACGCAAGTATCAGCATACTTTTTTCGTGTAAGGGCCAGGTCTGTGTCACAACTCCCAGCTCCCATGGAGCTAGGCTTGATGGTACATGCTTGTGATCCCAGCACTCTGGGAGACTGAGACAGGAGACTGCAAATTTGAAGCCAGCCTGGGAAACTCAGCAACTTAATAAAACTGTGTCATATATATATTTTTCCCTTCATTAGTGTGTGTCCAAGGCCAGCACGGGGTCCATAGGGAGTTCAAGACCAGCCTGAACTACAAAGCAAGATCCTGTCTCAAACAAACAAATAAATAAGTAGTATGTAGCTCAATGATAGAAAGAAAGGAGAAAAGAAAAAAAAAAGAGAGGGAAGGAAAGAGAAAGCAGCTGTCGACAATATGTAAAAGAATGAGTGTGGCTGTGTTCCAATAAAACTTTCTTCACAGTGAAGCGTGGAGATGCACACCTGTAACCCAACAGTTTGAGGGGCTAAGGCAGAACAATCTCACATTCAAACCCAGCCCGATGAATCTCAGTAACAAGTTAATAAAATAGAAAGGGCTGCCAGGTATGGTAATGTAATCCCAGAACTTGGGAGGCTGAGTCAGGATGATCACCATGAGTTTGAGGCCAGCCTGGGCTACACAGTGAATTGAAGACCACCCTAAACTTCATAGTGAGGTCCTATCTCAAAAAAATAAGAAAGGACTGGGTTTGTATTTCAGCACTCCCTGGGTTCAATCCTCATTACTCCCCCTCCAGCCTTTATTTATCCAGATGGATGAGGCTCACACACATCCTCACCCCTGCCACACAGCGGTGGTGCAGATGCCACCCATTCTGTCAGATGTGCTCCTATTTCTGATGGTGGCCTTCTGGGGGTGAGCGTAGCTGGCCCCTGCCACCTCCTCCTCCTCCTTCTCCTCCTTCCCCAGATGGCCTTGAAAGATCTGCCCATCACAAGCCAAAGCTGTCATTCTGGACACCGGATTCAGTCTGAACTTGCAGACCTGGTGTGAATCCTTTGCTAGCTGAGTTACTTAGACAAGAAAGTTAAACTTACTGAACCTGTTTCCTCATGCACATGAGAGGAACAATGTCAGTGGAGTCTAACCTTAATTTAAATGTTTCTAGTAGCCACACAGTTAAGTGTAAGAAGAAACAGGTGAATTTAATTTCAATAATATCTTTTCTTTAACCTACTCTGACCATTACATTATCATTTCAACATATAATCAATATAAAATAATTGTTGAGACCTTTTACAGTCCTTTTTTGTGCTAAGACTTAGAAATCCTTTATTTTAAGCTTGTAACTCATCTCAGTTTGGAATGGGAACTTTTTGAGTAACCAGTGCCACTGGGGTTGGTGGCCATTGCATAGGACAGCTCAGCCCTCTGGGGAAGGTGGATGCTATGGGAAGACCGGCACAGAGATAAATCATACACCATTAAAACTGATGATGCTGTGAAGCAAAAGCCGCAGGCACCGTGGACAGGGCCAGGGAACTATTAAAAGACAATCCCAGCCCTTGTCTACCCCCCTCAGAGTTCTTTTTTTGTTTTGTTGGGGTTTTTGGCTTTTGAGACATGGTCTTGCTGTGTGGTTCAGATTGGCCTCGAACTCACTGTGTCACCTCAGCTGGCTTTGAACTTGCAACAACTACCCTGCTTCAGCTGGGATTACAGGCCTGTAACACCATGGTCAGCTCAAAGTTCCTTTTTCAGCACTCAAGGGAACATTCTCGCGCCTTTTCCTAAGCCCCAGCTGCTGAACGTGCTCAGCATGGACCGCTCTAAAGTGGAACATTCAGACTGTGCCGCTGATCTTTGATAGCTGCCTGTTGAAGGCTGGACAGAGAGTTGCTTTTGTTTCTCGAGATTTCCTTGGGTGCTGGACCTGGTGCACAGCAGCCTCTGACCTCATGCAGCTGTAGAGGTGTTGGGAGGCAGCAGCTTCCTGGTGGGGTCTGAATGACTGGTCCCCAGCTGCAGTGGCTTTTCTACCCAGGAGCAGAAGTGCTGGATTCAGTCTGAACTTGCAGACCTGGTGTGAATCCTTTGCTGGCTGAGTTACTTAGACAAGAAAGTTAAATTCACTGAACCTGTTTCCTCATCCACATGAGAGGAACAATGTCAGTGGAGATTCAGACAGTCAAGCATAGAAGGAGCTGGGTGTGGTGGCCTGTAATGGAGGCTCGTCATGAGTTCAAGGCCAGCTTGCACTACACAGTAAGACCCTGTCTCAGTCAGTCAGTCCAAGAATGGAGCATCTGATGTGGTACACATTAAGTGGGCGACCCCAGACGCTGAATTAACTGCCCCACCCCATTTGGTAGACCACAGAATTTATACCCCCTCCTGTGCTGTGTTCTCATGGGTGTGGCTGTGTCTCCCATTTGACTGGGAGTCCCCAGAGCAGGAAGTGTTTTGTCCATCTCAGCAAGAAAGTCTGCCTGCATCTAGTCTGCCTTGAGTCTAGAACATTCTTTCTGAACTTTCTCCTCCTTCCACCATGTTTCCTTTCTCAGAGAAAATAATTCTTTGTGTCCTATCAGCAAACTGGGTCAGCCTATCCCACTTACACTGTCTTCCAGCCCCCCTATATTTTCCTCCCAAGCACTTAGCACTTGTAATTAATGAATTGTCTGGGGAATCTGTAGTGATGTCATCTCCCCACTGGACCGTCAGTCCCATAAGGGGAGCAAGTCTTGCAGCACTCATGACTGGGTTCATAGTGCCCAGGCACATAGCAGGCGGTCAGCAAGTGTTTGTTAAGTGAATGAGAGACTGTCTCTCACTCTGGAAGTTCAGAGACCAGAGACTTTTCTCTGAAGAACTATGAGAGATTAAGGTACTTTCATAACTGGCCTTTTAAAAGTCACTTGTTTGACAGTGAGCATGTATTTCTCGCTACCTGTCTTAATTAACTGCTTTGACGTGGGCTTTGTAAAATCTTCAAGGTTTTGTTGTCCAGCAGATATATAATGCGATGCACAAATATAATTTCACTTTTTCCAATAGGAAATAAAAAAGGAATTTTTTTAAAAAGTGATTACATGTTATCACTTTGATGTGTAGTCAATATTAAAAACAATGTTGATGAGCTATTGTATTATCTTTTTTTCCTTGTTGGGTCTTCTAAGTCTTTCTGTGTGTATTTCACACTTACAGCATATCTTAACTTGGACTGGCTACATTTCATGTCCTCAGTAGCCAGTAGTAGCTTGTGCTGCCATATTGAACCAGTATGGTTTTCACACTCTTCTTCCCAGAATGCACTGCAGTGTGTGGAGTCAGCCTTAGCTGAGGCCATTGTCTGGCAACAGGACAAACACAACTGAGGTCATCACCTGGTACCAGTAGAACTTGATGCTTTCAGGCAAGGAGGAAATTAATTAGTCATACCTAGGAAGTAAAAAGTCTATAGGTCTAAGGTACCCCAAGAGTTTTTAAAATGGCTTTATGTGTATTAAATCATTTGATGTGCCTAACACTACTTAGAGAGAAATTATTGTATTATCTCCACTTTAAAAATGGGTAAATAGAGGCATGGAGGTTTATGTAGCCTTTCCTCCCAAAGACACACACGTAGTTAAGTGGCATGGCTAGAGTTTGAACTCACTCTGTGCCTTAGTTACCTGCCTCCCTGAACTGACCCAGACAGAACTCCTGAGGGTGAGAGTAAAGGTGACACTCAAAGGTGGTGTTGCACTCAGGACCCAGAACTGTTGTGATCCACTTGGATTTGTTCATTCAACAAATCATGTTGAGCACCTCTCCAGCTTCCTCTGAGGGGTGAACATGAGATGGTGCTGAGCCCTGATTCCAGCAGCCACCAGACCCTGTGAGAGCCCATGTGTCTGCAGGATGTGTCTGCTTTGCCCCATGTTGTGAAGTCTCATCAGCAGAACGTGGAAGATCTGTGGGCAGCAGGATGATGCCACTCGTGGTGACAGCTCCTCACACCAGGTCACCCTGCCATCCAGTCCTCTCTGTGCAGTTAGGAGGCACCTATTGAGCACTCTCAAAGCCATTTCACTTAACCCTGTTTTTCCAACAGCTGTGTCTCAGTTTCTCCTAAAACCCACGTTTGAACTTCTAGCATTCTCTTTAATAAAACAAAATAATCACTGTTGATAACCCACTGTGTACCTACTGCTGTGTGTAGTCTGTACAGCCAGCTTTGTTTAATCCCCACAACAGGCCTAAGAGGTAGGTCCTGTATGTTCTTCCATTTTACAGAGGAGAACACTCAGGATCAGAGAGGACAATGATTTGCCCACAGGCACACAGCCTGGACGCAATGCAGCTCAGCTTGTGGCTTCAGATCCCAGACTCATAACCGTCATTTCCCCTTCCCCATCCCACATCTTTGCAGGTGGAAAATGATTTGCTTGCAGCCTCAGATGCGATGGCTACACGTGATGCTTTCTCTTGTTTCCAAAGGTGGTGGCCCTTAGTAAGAGAAGTCAGGAGGCGGAGGCGGCCTTTCTGAGTGTTTACAAGCAATTAATTGAAGCACCAGGTAAGAAACACTTGGCTCCGTAAGTGAATAATTACTGACGAGGACCTGCTCTGAGCGGGCTGCACAGGCGCTTCCTGGCTGTGGGATCTGGGGACAGCCCCGGGCTTCTGGGTGAAGGCAGGCCCTCTGGGGCTGAGGGCCATACCCATCAGGTGTGACACCCCCCATCTCCCCCAAAACCCCCACCACCTTCCACTATGAGCCGACAGAAGCCTGCTATGGGGGCTTCTGATGAGATATCCTGAGTTCCCCTAACCATCGGACCCCAAACCACCTTCTGTCCAGGTGACAGAAGGTGCCATTGCTGTATGTCAGCAAGGAGAAATAGAGGAGCAACTACCAGGTCTCCCCTAGAGTGATTCAGCCCACCTCTAAAATTTGATATTGAAGGAAAGCCAGGCCCAGAAGAATGCAGACTGCATGGCTCCACTTACCAGCAGCACAGACAGACCAGCAGTAGTCTGTTGGTGCTGCTCACCATGGCCCAAAGGGAAGTGGCTCTACATTCAGCATAGGATAAATGGAGCTTTAAATGTGGTGGAATATTACTCCGCCATGACAAGGAATGAGGCACCAATCCATGCTACGACTGAGCGAGCCTCAAAAACCATGGTGCCAAGAGAAAGAAGTCAGATACAAAAGGCCACATCGTACACGATTCTATTTATAAGAACGTCCAGAAAAGGCAGATCTGTAGGGATGAAAAGCAATTGGCCATTGCAAAGACTGGGGGATGGAAATTCAAAAGCAGTTGCTAGATACAAATGAGCTTCCTTTTGGGGTGAGAAAAATGTTCTGGAGCTGGGCTGGGTGGCAAATGCCTACAATCCTGACACTCTGCTAGGATGAGGCAGAAGGATTGCAGCTTGGGCAACTTAGCAAAACCTAACCCAAAATAAAAAATAACACAAGCTCAGTGCAAAGACCTTGGGTTCAGTTCCCAGTACCTTAAAAAAAAAATTCTGGAGCTATACAGAAGTGACAGGACATGGTGAGTACACTAAATGTCACTGAATTGAATTGTTTGCTTTAAAATGATAAATTTTATGTCACGTGAAGTTTACCTCAACTGAAAAAAAGTTACTGGTGCTGTGGGAAGTACTGTTGCTCAGTCTGGGTATGGTTCACAGAAGTGTGGTCACTTTGGGGACGCCCAGTGATACACTTAGAGCATGAAGATGTGTTGTACACCTGTGAAGTTTCCCATTTCTCATACAGCCCATCCTCTGTTGCATTCCCATCTACTGACCCAGAAACAGGAGGCCAGCCCTCAGAAGATTATGATCTGGTGACATAAGCCATAGGTGGCCAGACCGTAGCTCACCTAAGCTGCCATCACCAGCCCAGAGGCAAGCCAGTGTCCTGGAGATTGGGGTCTGGAGACTGACAGGCACAGGCGATGATGAGAGGGGCTATAGCCCTGCCTGATGCAAGGCTTCGTTGCTAGGGTCCTTAGGGACCTTCACCTTTCTGGAAATCAGATTGTTGGAACAGAGGGATAAAGGGCCATCTAAGGGTTCTGAGAGTCCCTAAGACTGACGCAGAGCTTTCTGGAAGCCCCTTGTGCCCTCTCTCCAAAGCCTGGGAGTGTGGAGGTCATTCCAAACCAGTGCTGACTGGTGTGTCTGATTTCCCAGCTCTGCTTCCCAGAAATGGAGGGGTGGGGGGATGTCCCCAGCTGTCACCAAGTTGGAGAATGAGGAGCCTTAACTGATGGAGACATACCATACAAACAGCCCCTTTAGGGGCTCTAATTCATTTTCGAGACATTTAAGAATAACAAAATGTTTTAATGATTTCTTAGGGGAATTAGGAAGACATATTTTTGTTCTCATTAAATTTTATCCTCAGACACAAGAACCAAATGTCAGATGCGTTTTTGGCGCTCAGCGCATCCCTGCTCGCTGCCCCTCCACCCCCACCGCCTGGCCCCCACCATAGAAATCCCACTCCCGAAAAATGAGCCAGGATGGGATGCGCATGCTCCTGTTAGTGTATTTCTTGACAGGAAAATTATTTGTTGAAATTCTCCCCCCACGCACACCCCCAAAGCCACACACAAGTCCTGATTCAACATTTTTGTTTTGAATGACTGCTGCCAACACAAATCTTTGGCAGAGAATGCGATATAGCCTGATTGCTCAGCAAGTATTTTGATAAGTGTGCAGCCTGTATGTCTGTAATTACGAAAGAAAACCGTAAATCTTTTGGATATTGTTCACACAGATGTGGCGTGAAGTGAGAAAAAAAAGCAGTAAAACGTGTTAAAAGCATAATTAATGTCATTGTTGTGGAGGAAGATTTGATTTAAACCCCTCTGACTTCTGTATCGGTGACGGCTGATTTCTTTATCTTGCGCATAGAGTCACTAGGTACCAACCTGAGCTTCAGAGAGCTAACTTGTTAACTGAGTGATTAGTTAAAAGACAGGGAGAAAAAAGGGAAAAACAAAGAGCGAGCAAGTGGGAGGGCAGGCAGAGGAACACTGCCGAGGAGATGAGAAGAGAGAGGTGAGTGCCCCAAAGTGGGTTTTTTCTGCTTTTCTTTGGCGTGAGATCTGACGCTGGATTGTACGATTCCTGGCAGGCATTTCTAGCCCTGCTCTTCTTTGGGGGCGGGTGGAAGGCAGCCAGCAGGGTGGTGATGTGAGTGTGCCCAGTATCGGACCCTTCTGGGTGGGACACTCAGCTTAGTGATCTGAGCTGTGTTACCGAGGCCAGGGATCTTAACTTCTCTGAACTCTGGGCTTTAGAAGAGAGGTGATAATAGGGCCTACTCATCAGTAACACAAGGAGTTGATACTGTGCACCCAGCTGCATTCAGCAGGGTTGAATAACCCACAGCCATTGACGTCAGGGTCTAAGAGGTACCCGCATCTGCCATTAACTACACAAGGGTCTGTCCACTACAGGGACGCCAGGTGGGCGATGCAGGCAAGGTTACTGTCTGTGGAGTAGCAAAATGCTTTACCGTGTTCAGGGTTTTCAGACTTGCCTCCCCAGTTATAAAAGTAGCAGGTGCACACTGTCAACTTTAGAATATACAGAAATGTTGGAGGAAAACAAGTAATCCACTAGAAAAGTGTTTCCTGGGGCTTTGGCCTCGGATCTTTTCCTTGTGTCCTTTCCCAAACAGCTGCATACTCTGCACAGAACACGGTGCCCAAACTCCCTGATGCCTCACTTCCCTGTGAGGTCACAGGTCCTTTCCAGTTGTCTCTGGTGTGGCTATATTGAACATTCTGAGTCCCTGCCTGGTGCCGGGCTTTTCGGTGCTCAGGGGATGTATGTTATTGGCCCCGCTCCTTAGACACGAGGATGAGGAGGAAAACTTGGGAACAAAATGTTCTGTAGTGACACACTGGCCACAAACCCAGAGTAAGTGGTCAGAACTGGAGTGTTTTTCTCCTTGATTTCACCCTTTTCTATTGTGTTCTTTTATTTACCCATCCACTAAATATAATCTTATATGTTATGGGCATGTCCATTTATTGTGTTGTGAATCACTGGTTTGTTCCTCCTTAGACCTTTCTCTGTCAGAGAGTGGATCTTACTAACTTGTAGTTGCTCTTTGTATATTAGGGACATTTACCTTTGTGCCGGTGTATATGTTTCATGTCTTCTCCTCTAGCTTGCCTTTTGTTTTTTACCTTTATTGTAATGTCTATTGTATGTAGTACATGGCAAGTATTTAACAAACATATGAGCAAAATAAGGGATTTTACCAAACCTTTGCTTTATAGCTTCTGTCTTACTTTTCTCACCTTATAGAAATTTTTTTAGTACTTTTCTCTTCTTAGTTTTTAAAAATTTAAGTTCAAGCCATCTGAGAGATTTTGGTGGAAATGGGGAAGTACCCTGTCTAGTTTCTTGTCCCAAATGACTAATTCTAGCGCCATCTAGTGAGTGAGCCACCTCATCGTGTAGGTATTTAGTGTAATTGAAAACCAGTCGGTTGCCTCTGCCTTTTTGCCTTCCTCCTCCTCTTCCACCACTCGTGTGTCTGCTCAGGTAGTCCTAACAGGGTAACATAAAAGAGTTTCTGTTTTGGTTTGTTTTTTGTTGGGTTTGAGTTTGGGTTTTGGCTGAACGTTTGCTGTGAGCTACATTACCAGCCGTTTTGTTTTGTTTTTATCTTTGTTTTGAAACAAGATCTCACTAAATTGCCCAGGCTGGCCTCAAACGTGAAATCCTCGTGTCATAGTCTCCCAGAGTGCTCGGATTAAAGACATGCACCATGACACCTAGCATAACATTTTGGTTTTTGTTTTCAGTACTAGGGATTGAACCTAGCGCCTTGCACATGCGAGGCAAGGCCATTGTCCCCAAGCTCCCTCCCTGCCTCTCGTAAAACAGTTTTAACATGTGAAAAAGAAAAAGCTTTATGATGTCAGATTTTCCTAAAGATGATGGTAACTTTGGAAGGCAAACTTTGAGTGCTATTCCCACTCCTCGAGACCACCTGTCTGGGCCTGACTGCTCGGGGAGCTCAGGTTCCAGTGGGTTAAAGGAAGCAGACTGCATGCACTGATCCCCAGGACAGGAATGTTCTCAACCCAAAGAGGCAGCAGGCATTACTGCTGTGGTCTTGCACCAGTCCTGACACCTACTGTGCGCAGAGGACTTTGGGAACTCAGGTTGGGGACCCACAAGGACACTGACAGGTGGAGCACACAGAAGAGAACAGGCTCCAAAGACAATGGCTGGCGCAGGGCCTCAGAAAGGGTGCCCTTGACCTTGGTCTGGAAGGCCGAGGTACCTTGCTATAGCACCCCTGGGTACTTTCTGTGTGGTCTCCCACACATACTCAGAAACAGTCTTGTCCTCTGCCCGTGCACTGCACTACTGAGGAAGGACAGGCCCGGGGTCACGCAGAGGGAAGTGACAGCCAGCTTCTGAGCGCTACCCCAGTTGCAGAATTTTTAAAAATCCAAGAAGGTTGAACAACAGCAGAGTTACTGGGGACTCAACTCCACAGAGCCATAGCCACAGGAATAGGGT